CGCCAACCTCCTCTGCAGCTCCCGCTTCTCCTCCGGCAGCCGGCATGTCCCTGCCGCGCCGCGCCCGCCAGGCCCTCTCCGGCTCCGGGCCGAGGGCGGCGTCCCCCGAGCTTGGCTGCCGCTGGTGCTTCCGCAGCGCGGCCCCTCTGGCCTCCAGCTCCGCAAGCCCGGCGAACAGCAAGCCCTTGGCCGTCCTCAAGGCCCGGCCCTCCGGCCGCTGCTCCTCTGCCGCCGGCGCAGGCTCTTTTCTGGCTGATGTTAACAAACAAGTTAGCGACTACAGAAACAAAAGATGGAAAGAACGGAGACAAACATGAAGTGAGGCAGACGGCGCCAGCCCAGTCGCAGTGCGGCCGCGTGGAGGTGTCTCGCTACACGGCAGGGGAGGAAGCCGGCCCAGGGCAGTAACCTGTGAGCGGCCGGGGGAGCAGCTGCTGCGCGTGCAGGAGCGGGCACGGCCCGTCGCAGACGCGTGCGTAAGGACCTCGGCAAGGGCAGCCCTGAGCCCACAAAGCGCGCGCGCACCTCAGCCCGAAGGCGGCGTGGGGGGGGCCGGACGTGAGTGCTGGAGACTCGCCTTTTCCTGGACAGATGCACGGGCCTGGCGGGCACCAGACCGGCTGCGGCTCCAGCACAGACCGCCCACATGCTCTCTGATCTTTGCAAGGACGGGCTGGCTCACAGGGCGCTGGGACGGCGGGACAGCGCCTCCCGACCGGTGCCACCAGAGCTCCGGGCACACCCCGGCGATCCTCCCTCCCTGCCCGGGGCGGGGGCGTGGGACCCAAACACCTGGGGGTGGGGTGGGGCCGAGTCAGTGGTTTCAGGGACGGCAACTGTCTTGGCAGCCACCTGGCCGGCGCACAGCAGAGCCTGTCACTGGCTCTTACTGAGCGAACGTGGGAGTTCGGTGGGGTCCCCACACCCCTGAGGTCTTATGGGAACCCCCGGGAGTCCATCAGATCCTCAGGACCCTGCGGGGTCCCTGCTGGTGACAGATACTGAGATCCAGACATCAGCTATCCAGAGCATGTGGGGGGTGGGGGGCAGGGGCAGTCCTGGCTGTAACCCAGCAGCAGAGAACCACTGAGGCTTTACACAAGCCACGGACAGCGCTGCGGTGGGCGAGACAGGACACAGATCTGTGCAGAGGCGGCCCGGGGCCAGGCCAGGGGTCTGTGCAGGGCCAAGTGGCTGCGACAGAGGCGTATGCGGGGTGCACGGCGGCGTCTGTGCGGCCTCGGGAGGGCCCTGCAGGCTCCTCTAAGCTGCTTGACGCTCTGTGACCAGAAGGGCTGGCAGTGCCGGGGGCCAGACACCACCTGCCGGACCACGGCCGCATCCAGGACGCCGCTCCCCCGGCCCAGTCGCGTGCTTCCGTGTGAGCACCGTCTCCGGCCCAGCGGGCCTCGGCCTGGGCCTCTGGCCACCCAGCCCTGCTGGCCCCCACGGCGCAGGCGGCAGCGGCCAGTCCCGGCCAGAGGAGCGGGCTTCCCAGCAGGCGGTGCCGGCGGCACCCAGGAGCAGCGGGGCCGGGAGCGGCTGACCCCAGAGGAGGGGTGGCGCCGCCAGCAAGCCTGCAGGCCAAGACCCCTCCCTCCCTTCCTCGGGGACCCGCCCGGCGGTCCCCTACCCCCACCCCAGCCCCACGCCCGCACCTCAGCCTCGCCGTTGTCCGCTGGGACGGCCGCCAGCCGGCCCTGTGCGCCCAACCACGCCTCCTGCAGGGCCTCGTGCTGCCCGGCGGCGGCCACGGAAGCGGCTTCCTCACGCTGGCTGCAGCTCATCTCCATCCTCCTCTCCTGCAGACCGGGAGAACAGGCCGTACCCGCTTACTGGGTGCCCCCACGCAACCCGCGCCCACCCCACGTGCGCCCCCACGCCCGCTTACCAGGTCCGCCAACCTCCTCTGCAGCTCCCGCTTCTCCTCCTCGTGCCTCACGGCTGCTGCCCGCTGGCTCTGCTGGGCCTGCAGAGTGACCTCCTCGACGCGCGTCTGCAGGACCCTCGCCTGCTCGTCGGCCTCGCTGAGCCTCAGCTGCAGTTCCTCCACCAGCCTAGGACACGCTCCAGGGTCAGGCGTCCGCCAGTGCAGACCGAGGGGCCCTGCTGGCGCAGTGGCTTGAAGCGTCCGCCCTGCAGCGCGACCCCGTCCCAGCCAGGGAGTGACCCTGGGGGCCGTGGACCCCTCCTGCCCCCACCCGCTCCCCAGCAGCGTGTCTCAGGGGACCCACAAACATCCTGCCCTGCTCCCCACTCTGTCTCTGGGGAGTCCTCTCCCCCGCATCTCTGGCCTGTGCCCCAGTTCTGTAGGCATGAAGAAACAAACCCTGAAACACAAACACACAAGCCAGCCCCAGAGCTGTACTTCAAAGGGCTCCTGAGCAAAGACATCTTCCCACACCTCGAGGGGGAACAGATGACAGTGCGTGTTCTAGAGTGACCCTGCTAACTCTGACGGTCAGCGACGGATGTCTGCGAAGCTGCTTCACGCCCACAGAGCAATCGAGCGGAAGGGAAACATGCAGGAGGAGATGAGGATCGAGAGACGCAAAGTCTTAGCGATTCAGATGACCAACACTCCCTCCGGCACCACTTAAGAAAGGTGACGTAAAAGACACAAGTAGGGGCCCCCCAGGGTGCAGAGGGTGAAGCACAGCACCCTCTGAAGCCACTACAGCGCGAGTTCGACCACGCCCAGGAGTGACCACAGGCGACTGCAGACCCCTCCTGACCACCCACTGCCCCCCTCAGTGATGGGCTTTGTCCATCTGCCTGTCCTGCTTGCTCCCCACTGTCTCTGGGGAAGCCTCTCACCGCCCGTGCAACTCTGGCCTGTACCCCAGTTCTGTGCATAAAGAAATAAATCTTGAAAAAAAAAAAAGGCACCAGCAGCCTGAAGGCCCGGCTTACAGAGAGGCTGCTGCTGGACAGAGGAGGCCAGAGAACGAAGGCCTGGACCGCCCGGAACACCAGCCACCCAGGACGGGCAGGGCGCCCCGCGGCCAGCCTTCCCACAGGCCCGGCACCAGCAGGAAGGCCTGAGCAGCCCCGAAGCGGCCCTGGTGCCTGTTTCGTGAGACCACGGCAGCCGGCATCAACGTGGGATCCCAGCAGGGGACCGCGGGGCTGGGACACGCACGGAGGGCACACAGGGGCAGCCTGGGCGAGGGCACCACCGGACGGCCGCCAGCCCGGGCCCCCGCACAGGGCCTGGAGAGCCCCGGGGCGCGTCCGCAGCGCGGCAGGCTGAGCCAGGCCGCGGAGACCCTCGCCGCCCTGCCCGGGCTGTGCCGACGCACCTCTCCTTCTCACGCAGCGCACCGCACACTTCCTCCAGCCGGGAGGAGTGATCTCCCGACACCTTGGCGATGTCCGCGAGGTCGTTCTCCAGCTTCTCCTTTGCCTGTAACAACTGCTCTTCCCTTCCGTTTCTCTCCCTGAACTCCGCCTCCATGCCTGGATCCACATGGGAGGAAGACGGCGCTGCTGCGCCAGGCCACACACACCCGCCCACTGCCTCACGCTCCGGCCGGGTCGGGCACCCGCACAGGCAGCTCCGGCCCTCAAGGGAGTGAGTCCAGCGAAGGCCGGAGGAAAGCAGGCGGACAAGGGCGACTGAGTCCAGTGGCGAGACCAGGGAAGGGGCTGAGACGTGACTGCCTCGCGCCAAGTCCTGGCTTGGTGGCACTGAAGCAAAGGCCTGAGGGCCTGGGGGCGGCAAGGGCGTGGGGGGCCCGAGGGCGAGGGGGGCCCCCACTCTCAGGCTGCGCCCGGACAGAGGGTGGGCAAGGCGGCACGGCCGGGGCGGGCGTGGGGCGGCTCAGCCCGAGGGCAGCCTGCGCCCAGGCCTGGAAGTGGGCAGAGGGGCCTGTGCACCCGCTGGCGCCTCACCTGCCAGCTGCCCCCTGGCCACCTCCAGGTCGGAGGACAGCGCGCTGAGCTGCTGCTCCTTCTGCTGCAGCTTGTGCGTGGCTTCTGTCGGGGCGAGGAGAGAGGCTGGTGAGGGCTGTGGCGGCAGTCGGGCATGTCGACGCCCAGGGCTGCCGGGGCGTGAGGCCCGCGCTGGGCCCTCGCCAGCCTGCTCGCTCCGGCCACCTTTGCTCACAGAGCCGGGTGCGGGCCTCACACGGCTCCCCGGCACTGCCCAGCCCCCCCCACACACACACACAGGTCCGGGGTAAAGGGAGGCAGCCCAGGGCCGCGCCCGCAACGAACCTTGCAGGCGACCCTGTGTGGAGGCTGCCTCGGCGGCCGCGTCAGCAAACTTTTCTCTCTGCAGAGGAAGAGCGGCCGGCTCAGCATACAGTCCAAGCGCTGGAGTCCGCCAGCCACAGCCGCGACTCTATGCGCCTTCGGGCCGGTTCTGCTTCACCGAAATGGGTGGCGGCGAACGCGGGCACCAGCCCATGGCACAGGCGGGGCACAGCTGTGCCTCTCTGGGGCCACTGGACAGCGCCTGCTCAGACATCGGCCCCAGGCCCCAGGCACGGGGCGGCCGACGGCCTAGTGCCCTCCGACATGCTCACGGCCAGGCCGGTGCGCACCCTTTGCCGGACACCTCAAGCACAAGGGGCGTCTGCGTCTCCCCCGAAGCACCGGCAGTCAGCGCGGGCCAGGCACTCACCAGGGCCTGCAGCTCTGTCCCGAGGGCCTCCTTGGCACGGCTGGCTTCGCGCAGGCTGTCCTGGAGGCCGCCCAGGGCCAGCTCCCTGGCCTGCAGCTCTGCGGCGGCGCTGCTGGCCTACCGGACACGGGGCACGCGGCCAAAGGGAACCATGGAACGAGGAGACCCGTGAGCCGTGTGAGCTGCGCGGATGCAGGCAGCGCGCGGGCGGGGGAAGGGCAGCGGCCCTGGAGTGCTGCCCGCATGCGCCCGCAGCGCCTCCAGCCCGTTACCTTCGCCTCGGCCTCCTGCAGCTTGCTCAAGGCATCCTCCATCTCCAGCAGGTGCTGGTTCTCAGCGCGGTCGAGCCCGGCCTGCGCGGCCTCCAGACCCTCCTCCTTCTCCCGGACAGCCCTGGCCAGCTCGGCCTGCAGCGCCCCCAGCGCGTCCGCGTGGGCGGCCCGCTCCGACTCCTGCCGGCCGCGCAGGGCTTCGAGCTCGCGCTGGTGGTCCAGCCTCAGCCTGTCCACCTGCGCCTGGGGCTCAGCAGCGCCCGCCCCGCCGCCCCGGCTGAAGGACGCCTTCAGCTCCTCCATCGCCTGCTGGTGGGATGCGATGGCCGACTGCAGCCGGGACTTCCACAGGGCGATCACGTCCGCGCTCTCCTTGTCGGCGTGGCCCAGCTTGCTCCTCAGCGACTCGTTCTCCTTGGACAGCTTCTCGGCAGCTGCCTGCAAGGCCTGCAGCTCCCTCTGCAGCGCCTCCTCCCGGGCGCCCAGCCCCTCCCGCAGAGCCGCCAGCTCCCGCCGGTGGTCGGCGCGGGCGGCGTCCAGCTCCTCTCGCAGGGAGCTCGGCTCTTGCAGGAGGGACGGCGACATGTCCACAGCCGCCATTGGCCTGCCGGCCTCTAGCCTGCGGCGGAGCTCAGCCACCTCCTGCGCGCGCAGCGCCAGGTCCTTCTCTAGCTCCATGATCCGGGACTTCTCTGACACCGTAGCCACCTGCCGGCATGCGGGGGAAAGGTCTGTTCAGCAGAAGCCGCCGCCGAGCCTCTTTGCCCACCCACGGCGCGCCGCGCCCCAACGGACGCTGAGCTAGACACCCCGGCGTTCCCCTGCCCCTAAGGACGCGGGCCAAGGACACCCGCAGACTGGCTGGCCCGTGCCCCGCCTCCGGCCCGCACCCCAGGGGCAGCCAGCCAGCAGGGTCAGCACCGACGCTGCAGCCCGGGACGCGGGGCGCGAGCCGGCGCGTCCTGTCAAGGGCGTGTCGGCGGACAAAGGCTGGCGCCCGGCTGCACTGACGCCAAGGTGAGCCGCCCGGCGGCGGCCATGAGGGACTGGCCTGGTGTCTCCTTTAAGATGACACGGCCAGGGAGCTGCTGACCACAGCGCCCCCGCGACCTCTGCCCGGCGTGGCAGCACGCCGGGACCACTACAGGCCGGCCCGTTGGCTCTGGGCAGTGCCCGGGACCACGGCGCCTCCGCCCCCAGGACGCCCACGCGAGGGGTGGGGCGCGGGCTTAGGCGGGGACTCAGCTTTTCACCAATCTGGGAAACGGAAGGGAAGGGGCAACTCCCGCCAGCGAGCCCCCGCCCAAGGGTGCGCCCCGCCCCCACTGACCCTTGTCGCTGCCTCCCGCAGGCAACAGAGACGGCCGGGGACAGGCTGCCCGGCGGCACGGGCCCACTGGCACGTGCTTCCGGAAAGGGCCCATAGGCCAGCGGGCGCGAGGCAAAGCCAACAGCCCTGGGCTGGCGGGATCGAGCTCGGGCCACGGCGGCACTGGGGGCCCGGGTGGCGCCTGAGCTCTGCGCCGGGAACCACTGGCCAAGCACAGGCTCGCCTGACAGGAGGGACCAGGGGCGCCTCCTGCTCCCAGTCAGGAGCCAGGTCGGCAGGCTCACGCGGGCCAGCCAAGCGTCCTCTGGACGGTGTGGCTCCGCGCAGAACCTGAAGTGGCCCGCTCGGCCATGAGGACGGCCCTGCTGGCGAGCCGGGTAAAGCCGCCAGTGCTTGAGGGAGTCTCACGGAGTCCAGGCTGCCCACACCGGTGGGCCAGCGCGCTGGCGGGGCGTCAGACGGAACCCGGCAGCCGGAGTGGCCGAAGCGCCACTTGTAGCCCCGTGTACCATCCAGCGACACCGCGAGCCAGCGGCCGCCCCAGCCCACCCAGCCACCCCCGCCCACCCCAGGCCGTCCAGGCCCACCTGGCCCACCATGCGGCACTCTGGCGGACAGCATCCTTTCTTGAAAAAGAAACTTAAGACTTAGAGGGAGAAATTACTCATGACCTAACTTTTCAGAGCAACGACATCTCCACAAGAGGAATTTCTACAATTACCACCGACAGCAACAATTCAAAAAACCAGCTACCGAATCCGACCAGACAGCGAGTGCAGCGGTTTCCAGCACCTGTGCAGGGAGGCCCTGGAGCCCGGCTGCGGCCGAGCCTGCGCGAGCGCCCCACGTGTGCATCTCCCTACAGGCGCCGGCACCTCCGGACGCGTGCGGCCGGCGCTGCGGCCCAGCTCACCGGCGGCTGCCGACAGCAGCAACCCTCGCGGGGTGGCCCCGGGGGAGGCTCGGCCCCGCCATGTGTCCTCCGCAGGGGCGCAGCAGCCCTCCCTGAGGGCTGGACGGGGCCAAGCCCCCTGGCACCTCGTGGCCAGGCTGACCGGAGCTGCATGCAGCCTAACACAGGGCGGGGGCACCCTGGATGCCGCCTGCTCCCCGCGCACGATGCACACCCAGACTGCGAACTTCTGCGGGGGACGGGGGGGGGTGACAGGGGTCGGGGGGCAAGCACAGAGACCAGGTGGGGAGGGGAGACCCGCGAGCCCATGGCCCCGAGGCGCCGAGTGGCCGGGCCCTTCCCTGAGCCGGCGGCCAGCAGGGAGGCGGGAAGAGAGCGGCGGTGAACCAGCGACAAAGCCCCTCCGAGAGCCCCAGAGCAGAACAGAGGACGCCGCCACCGCCACTGGCGCTCGGGGTTCTGCCCAGCTCGGGGCCCGGCCCAGGCAGGGCCTCTCCTTCCGGTACCTGGCAGCGGCCCTGCGCCAGCCTGCGCCGGCCTCTCGCGCTGCGGCAGGCCCGGGACGGGCGCCGGGCCGCCCCGAGACGCGGCTCTGCTTCTCGAAGTAGGGAAAGCCATTACCCTAGTGTCTTCTAACTCCCTCTGGAGCTTGTCAGCTTTGGTCTTTTCAAAGAGCAGGCTCTGTTCAAGCTCCTTAGTGCGCGCATGCTCCAGTTTGGTCTGCGTCTGTTAGTAGAAGGAAGAGGAAGAGAAGACAACAGCGCCACGTGACGAGCAGCAGGGGCAGCAGCGTGCGGCCACCGCCAGGCCTCCCGCCGAGGAGGGGCGGGGCGGGGCGGG